TTTTTTTATTTTGTAGCCCTCATTTAGCTCTACAATTTAAAAAAAAGTTCATCAAAATTGGGCTACTGGATGCCGAGATATTTACAAAAAACGATTTTTTGAGCCCCTGAAAAATGGGCCAATCTGCCGAAAGTGTGACTTATGACCTGTTTTGGAGATATCCGGGGTCCTGGCCATAGTATCCCCCTATGCATAGTACCCCCTTGAAAAATTTCATAGAATTGTATAGTATCTGGTGGATATTTTACAATTATCTTGTGATCCAGTAATCAGATTTGAGCCATTGTTTTTTTGTTTGATAGCTCTTATTGAGCTCTTCAAAATATAAAAATGATCATTCAAATTGGACCAGTAGAATGTGAGATATTCGCAAAAAATGGAATTTTTAGGCTTTGTTTAGTACCTGGGGGTACAGAGTCAACCCCGATTTTTGCAAGATACCCGGGATACTGTAGCCCGCTATATACGGTATTTACCTATGAAATTCTTAAATACTTTAAAGTTTTTTATAATGGAAAACTGTAACCTAAAATAAAAAAAAAATGAACATTAATATAATGTTTATTAAAAATAACAAAAAGGATTATTTTGAAGTTGGTACCTTCAAAATACTTAAAAATAAGAGTCTGGGACTTAAAATAAAAAAATAAATATTAGTATAATGTTTGTTAAAGAAAGTAAAACAAAAAAAAAACTTCAAAGTGTTTACCTTTAAAGTTCTTCATCATTACAGTTTACTATCCTAAAGATTTTCAGCAAAATGGAAACCTGGAATTTAAAATAAAAAAAGAATGAATATTAGTTAATGTTCGCTAAATAAAATTAATAAAAATAATTTTATTTGAAGGAATACCTTCGAATTTCATTTAAAAAGCATCTGGTAAGCCAAAAATCTACAAAAAAAATAAAATATTAACTAAGGTCTCATTTAAATAAAATAAAAAAAATACAGAATTTTGAAGTTTTACCTTTGAAATTTTGTTAAGAAGGCACCTGGAAAGCCATAAATCCACAAAAAATAAAAAAATTGAAACGTTAGCTAACATTTTGTTTAATTTTTAAAAAAATATAAAAAAAATTAAAGAATTTCAAAGGTATCTGTATTCATCTTAAAAATTCCATTCAATCTAAATGGCTACCAGAAAACTTACAAAAGAAAAAAAAATCAAAATGTTAGTAATGTTTCATTTAAATAAAATAAAATAAAATTAGTTTCATAATAAAAAGTTTGTTACGAAACTAATCATGTTGAAAATTCCATCCAAGCTGGAACCAGAGAGCCAAAAATCCAAAAAAAAAATAATTAATGTTAGAAACGTTCTTTTACAAAAATAAAATAAAAAAAATAAAAAAATTTTGAAGAAATACTTTTAAAATTCCATCCAGAAGAGTTTAGAAGAGCCAAAAACCTAAAAAAAAATTGAAATGTTAATAACATTTGGGGTCTTTGCAATAGTAAGGTACAAAACTCAAAAAAAAATTTAATTTTACTTTATATACTAATTGTGTTTTTTTTACTGAAATAAATGCAAATTTAATATTAATTCAATTTTTAATTTTTTTTGAGTTTCATACCTTTCTATTGCAAAGATCCCATTTTATTAAAATAAACAAAAAAATAAATAAAAAATAAAAATAAAATTGAAATTTACCTTCAAAATTAAAGTTTTTCAGCATTCTAGACTTATAAAGAAGAGAAAAACAAACGTTGGTGAACATTTATTAAAAAAAAGACTCCTTCTTTTTTAAGTTATTTACCTTTAAAATCAAGTTTGAGATACATATCTTTGGTGTCTTGGCAAAAATAAAAATGAACATTAGTTAACATTCGTAAAAAAACTAATAAAAAAAATATTTTTGAAGAATATAAAAGATATAAAATTGCTATAAATCGCTGGTGTCACGTGATTTTTAATAATATATAATTTATCACCCTACGTCACACCTTCCTTATTTCCGTTTTTACTATGTATTCCAGGAATTTGAATTTTTTTAGTATAAAAAATCCTATTTGTCATCCTTATTCGTCACACTCATAATTCCAGCCAAATTTTATAATTCCAGCCAAAATATCCTTTTTTGGAAACTTGAATAATGTTATACAATCCAAAAAGACAATTTTGTTTCTCATAAAAATCAGGGAAATGAGTTACACAATATTCCAAAAAAGGAGGTCATCTAAAGCAGGGGCAAATCACGTAATTCAGTGTAATTTTAATTAGAATAATTTTTTATAAAGAAAGATTAATAAAAACTTTAAAATCATAATATAAGCGTATTTTTATCTGCTTTGCAAGTTTACTTAAGGAAAAAAAGTGGATTTTGAATATTGTTTTTGACTTTACATATGAATGAACGAAACTTTACTGATCATATTCAAAAATGGATAACAAAATTGAAAAAGTCAAATAAATCAAAAACAGCATTCAAAACCCTACTCTGCGCTCTAAATAAACTTGCAGAGCAGGCAAAAATGCATTTAAAATGTGTGTTTAGAATGGTTGAATATATGGTAAAAAGTTTTATTTTATAAAAACAATTTTTTTTTGAAGTCATGTGATTTGACCCGCTTTAAACAACCTCCAAAAAAGGCAATTTCTATATCGATCATTTAATTCTGGTTAAAATTAAAAAATCATGTAACACCGGTGATGATTACTGCTGGCAATAAATAGCAAACTCCTAAAAGATATACCATCAAAATAAAGCTCACGAAGTATTTAGAAAGTCGTGAGCCTATAAAAAAGAAAGCTGAAACATTAGTAAGAGTGAATAAATCAGCCTATATGTAAATGTTTATAACTATAGATAAATGCATCATATGGGCTGATTTGTCTACCTTTAATTAAAATATTGATTTTGTTACATTTTTATTATACAAAATACTATTATTACTATATAATATACAGTAAATTGGGGGTGAGTATTAAAAAACTTTTATTTAATGTTATTATACTTTAAATTGGTAAATATTTCTTTTAAATTAATATAATTCTTAGCACTTACTATATATATTAAAAATTTGTATCTCAACTTTAAACGTAAATATCTTCAGATCTAATGATCCAATCAACAAGCTCTTTTTTCGCTCATATAGACCAGATCAAGGGCTTTCTGAAGAGCCTAAATTTATAAAAAACGGATCAGTGGATCCCAAGATATTTGCATTTAAGCATGTTAAAAAGTTCGTACCTCAACTTTAAACGTAAATATCTCTGGATCT